ATTAGAGTTGGTAGATTATTTTCATCAGTTTTGATATCTTTGTATGTTTTACTTAATTGTCCACAAATTGACTCACTATAAAACAAAAAATTAAGATTGTGTGATATTTCCTCATAAGGTTACTCTTTTGTCTTCTTTAGCCCATTTCTTTAACACTAAACAGAGCCTTTCTTTTCTAACACAAGAAAAGAAATCACTTCTTTTATGAAAGTTATTCAGCAGATAACCTATTAAATGTACTTCATATATTTACTTAAGTATTCACTGACTTCAACTTACTTACTTACTTTGAAAACTCTGGTATTTTAAACCATGCTCCTTCATAAGCAAGAGAAATTTTTCCTCTTTTGAAACACATTTCCAGTCTCAGCTTTTTAAACTGAAAACATTATATATACTTTTAGTGTTATAGAACTGAAATTTTTATATAAAACCTTAAAAATACAGTTTATAATTTAATTAGATGCCTAATTCATGCTTTTAGTATCAAATACTTTAAAGGTACAGGATTTTTTCCTTTGCAACTTTTAAGCATTCTAAGTATGTTTGTTTGCCAGAATATGAGCTGTTGAATGAACAACTGAAAAAACAGAAAACAAAGCCTTTGTGGTTTTCCTAACCAAATATATTTCTTCTGTTCCTTGCATTTAGCTAATTAGAGGTTCATTGGACGTAACACATATCTACCAAAATTAATTTGCTTCTAGGCAGACAGAAAAAAAAAAAGGCTCAGAAGAGTATGTAAAAGTCTTAGAATAGACTAAAGAAAAAGTGGAAATTTGGTATATGATAAAGGTTAGAAATTCTTAGTGGGTTATAGTTTAAGAACTTAAATCTCCAAAAAAATCTTCAACATTCTTCAATAGTTTGATTGTTAGTAATAATATTGTGATTTTAAAAAATTTAAGCTGTTAATATATATACAAGAGAGATGTTATTGGAAACCAAGATACTTCATGTAAGAGCAGGTTACAAATGTAAAATCAAAAAAATTAAGGGAAAAAATTCTGCAATGTTAAAATTGAATTGGTATTATCATATCAATGCACAATGTTTTGGAAACATCTTTCTTGTTCGTTCATCAAGAGACCAGAAGCAGTGATATCCCAGGGACAATGAGTAGTGTACTTTGTGTCTAGCTCTTGTTGTTTAACAGCCAGTCCCACTATAAGAAACCAAGACTCCCCAGAGATGCTGATGCAGATATGAGAAGAAAAAGTATAAAGTGACCCTACAGATATCTTGTGCCGAATAGTAAGGAAGCATTCAGTGACCAATGATATCTAGCAGAAGAGCAATAAGAGTTCAAACATAGGAAAGTTTAAAATTGAAAAGGACAGTGACTGTAACTGATTCAACATAGAGAAGAAAAAAAAAAATCATTTCTTTGTAGACCTTGTGCCCGGAATCCTGTTAATTGTCAGTATTTATAACTCTGTTGAAAGTAGAAAATTAGATACTTTTAATGTGGCTTCATTAAAAATACTCTGTATCATAAGTAATCATTTCATCACTTCTTTTTCTAAGGGTAGACAGAACCCATCTATTTGAAAACTTAAAGCATGTATTTATTTGCTATCAATACACCCTGGCTTTCTTCACAGTTCTTTAAATAATACATTTGTCCCCATGAAAATTCTTCCACTTCTGTGTGAATAATTCTTTTGTTCATTTTCTCTGTCTGACTCTAGCTCTCTCTTTCTCATGTTCTCTGGCTCTCTCTTGCTCTCCTTCTTGCTATGCACCAGCTCTACAGTTTGAGCCATGTCCCCCTTTCCTTGTGTGAATAATTCTAATTAGAATGCTTCTACAAGTACGTAGCCAAAGTAAGCTCTCTGAGAACTAAAATTTTTTTTGTGAGCACAAAGTAATTCTCAAGCCAGAGACAGTGGGTGAGGTGTGTATAGAGGGGGCAGTGCTAGGGGCTGGGGGCACGTTGGCAGTGGTAACTGGGTTAGGCATTGAGAGACTTTGAGAACCAGTGAGCCATGTGGATATCCTGGAATCACCATGAGGTAGGTAAAAGAAAGTTGAATAACGAGGTAGTTGGACATGAAGTTCATCTGCTTCTGATTTTAATAGGACTGACATTAAGTATGTGGAAATTTGCTAGTTTAAACTGTAGGATACAGGCATCCCAATTATTTCTTTAAATAGTTAGAGTTGGGTGGGTTGGACACAGTTTTAGGATCTTGAAGGCACAGGAAGTCAAAGGAGAGCATATGTATAATGCCTCAGAAGTCCTGTCTTGAATCATACCAAATACTATATCTAGCATAATGGTTTATAGTGGGTTCTTAATTGTGGGTGAATGGGTGTTATGATTGGAATGATCTAATCTAATAATCTGTTCATATATCGGTGATGTAATCAGGTAAAACCAATGTGAGCTGCCAGTGGTCACTTAAGAATAAAACTAGAAACAGTCCTAAGAGTAAATAAAAAGGACAAATAATTGTATAACTGCACTTATGTATGCGTTGTCTAGAATAGCCAAATTCATCAAAATAAAAAGTAGAATATTGGTTGTTAGGGTAGAGGAAAGGAACATATGAAGAGTTATTTAACAGGTACAGAGTTTCTGTTTGGAGTTGATAAAAAGGGTTTTGGAAAAAGATGAAACTGTGCAACTTTGTAAATGTATTTCATAACATGGAAGTCTACATTTTAAAATAGTTATGGTAAATGTAATATATGTTTTATCACAATGAAAATTATTACATATTTTACCATAATGAAAAAACAAAATAAACAAAGTACCATGAATAAAATCCCCTTGTGTGCAGGGGTTATATTCTAAAACTCCCAGTGGATGGCTGAACCTGTGGGTAGTGCCAAACTCTACATACTATGCTTTTACCATAACCATACCTTTCTATAGTAAAGTTTATAAATTAGGCACAGTAAGAAATTCACAGAAATGAATACTAAAATAGAACAATCGCAACAATATACTGCAATAAAAATTATATGAATGTGATTTCTGTCTTTTGAAAGAGTTAGATAAATGTCAGTATTTTTCCAACCAAGGTTGAACATAGGTAACTGAAACCATGGATAAAAGGGGGAACTCCTGTAAATAAAATGCTGCAGACTATTGGCAGCATGCCAAAACTACTGTGTGCCAGAGCTATACAGCAAGCTCTGTATACAACCTTACAGCAATAAATCCCCACCTGTACATGATGAGAGCTAAGTGAAAGCTGCCTAAGTTACAAAACCTTAATCCTGGATCCACCTGGACTGGCCTTACCAAGCTTGGTATCCAAGAGTACCTGTTTATTGAAGTTAGGTCACACATAGACTGTAGATTTAAGAAAGTGGAGGGAATGTTCTAAGAGCTAGAATATTAATCAACTTATAAAGAGGAAAAGTTTGTTTTGACTCACAGGTACTGAAGTTTGAATTCATGGTCATTGGCTGTGTTGCTTTGGGTCTGTGGTATTACAGTACATCTTTCAGTAGCTTACAGTAGAGGAAGCTAAGAGAGACAGGGAGAGAGAAGGAATATCCCCTTCAAGTGCATACCCGAGCCGTTCTTTCTTCCAGTAGACCCACCTCCTGAAGGTTCCAGAACCTCCCAACAGCACCACAGGCTGGCCACCAACCTTTAACACTTGGACCTTTGAGGGACATGCAAGATCCAAACTATAACACTGAAGATATTCTAGAGTTTGCTGGTGCTATTGGGGAAGTTCTAGAAATCATTGATTCTCCAGGTGCTGGATCAGCATCAGTATCACCTGAGCATTTGTTAGAACTGTTAAATTGTCAGGTCCCACCCTGTACTTACTGAATCAGAAGGCCTGAGTGTGAGGTATCCGTCCTCTGTTTTATTAAGCCCTTCAGTAAATCTGATGTATGATAATGTTTGGAAACCACTATTTTTTAGATGCATGGTAGAAGTTTAAGAAGAGGAACAAACGTATGTGAGACAAGAACTTGATTAGTTTTATGGGATATTTAATGCTTTTGAGCAGGGGTCGGTAAACTATAGCTAATGGCCCAAATCTGGTCTCACATCTGTTTTTGTTCAGCCTATGAGCTAAGAATGGCTTTAGCAATTTTTTAATGGTTGACAAAAGGTAAGAATATTTCCTGACAGATGAAAATAGTAGTATTTTCATCTTAAAATCTAAAATCACATTTTAGTATCCTTAAATTAAGTTGTATGTCACATTCACATTCATTCATTTATATATTGTCACTGGTTACTTTGGTACTACAAAGTAAGAGTTGAGTAATTGTAATAGAAACACTCAAAGCTGAAAATCTTTATAGCCTTTTATAGGAAAAATTTCCTAACACCTGCCCATAGCGCATTAAAATGTAAAGAGCTTGGTGACCAATAAAGGGACAATATGAAGAATTTAATACCCATCCTCTCTAGGAAGAGGATGGGCTTGCTTGCTTCCTCCCTTCCTCCTTCCCTTCCTTCCTCCCTCCCTTCCTCCCTCCCTTTCTCTGTGTGTGGTGGGAATGGAACCCAGGTCCTTGGCAATGCTAGCCAAATACTATACCACTTGAGCCATGCTCCTTTTTCACTCCTTTTTGTTTTTGAGACAGAGTGTCACTGCTACCTTTGCCTGGACTGACCTTGAACTCATGATCCTCCTGCCTCAACTCCCAAGTACTGGGATCACAGGCATGCACGACCATACCCTCCTCTAACCATGTCTCTTTGAGGCAGCATTCCAGAGCCTAAAATGCCATACTTTAGGATAAAGGAGGAAGATGGACAGCTAGTGTCTTTCTGTTTTATAAGTTTTTGTTTCAGGGAGGTTAAAAGTACTTAATTTGTTTGAAACATGCAGGTAGGTTAAACAACCTTAAAATAGTATGTCTGTAAGTTATCCAAGCTGAGAGGTGTTCTATAACAGTAATCATTCTGTATTTGGGTGAGGAGAATAAAATTAATTTCTCTGACTAGAAAACTTGTAAGCTTAGTCATCTCTCTAACTTGCTGAATCTTCACTTTGATTCTTCTTTCCCTCATCCAGATTTTAGAAGTTTTCCTTTTAAGTGTTGCTGGGGATTGAACCCTCACCTTGGACATGCTAGGCAAGTACTCTATCATTAAGCCACACACCTAGCTCTACCTCTTTTTTTAATTTCTTTGTTTATAAAGGTGAATCCAGAATAATCTTCAACTTCTAATGCCAAGAAGTGCCTGAGTTTTAAGTTTTCTTTCTGTTGCTTGAGTTCCTTGTTTATCTATACAACTAAAAGAGCAAATCTGGAAGTGATGTAAATCCACATTTCAGAGTGAAGGGGAAGACTTGCAAAGTAAAATTTGTGTGCGTGTTTCCAAGTTGATTATAGCTTTACAAAGTGAAAGTGAATTAATGACACCAAGTTTCATGCAGTTGATTAAATTACCTTCTTTACTGTCAGATTAATTATCCAATTTTTATTGGTAAATTTGGGAAATTCTCCTATATCATTATTTTAACAGTGAATGCTCAAATTTATCATTATTTCTATATTTTGAAGAATAGTTCATTACTGTGCTTTTTTAGGACCTTCATGTGTTTCCATTATTTAGTCATTTTATAAATGATCATGCTGTAGTTCCATGGTATACAAATGCCAGGTAAAATAGTTTCTTAAACATTTACAAAATATGCAAAGCATTAGTTTTTGTGGGAGACTACACAGGAATTGGAATGCCTTATTTTCATCCTGAAGCTTACACGTATGGAAATAAAATAGGAAATTCAGACCCTATGGAAGGTGGTGTATCAAATAAGTATTAATAACTTATCATTGGCAAATTTCTCTTTGTTAACTTTGAAAAAATTGTGAACAGTAACATTTAGAAAAGTGAAAAATATCAGTGTATTAGTGTAATAAATTATTACAAGGTGAACAGCTGTTTACCACCACTCAGGTGAAGACATAGGTCATTGCCAACCACCCTACCTCCCCATCCCCAGAAGCCTTCCACATTCCCTTTCCCAGTCACAGCTGCTCTCTTCACAAAGGTAACAACTGCTGGACTTCCGATAATCACTTCCTGGCTTTTTGTCATAGTTTCCCTCTCAGTGTGCATTCCTAAATTTTGTAATATTTACCTGTTTTTTAAAGAACACACATGGACTCATTCACACTATGTATTTTAACATCTGACTTTTTTTTATTGAGTAGTAAGTTTTTAAGATTCATCCATGGTATATGGAGCTGTGATTTGTTCATTTTCCTTGCTTTATGTATTCCATTTAGAAATACAACTCATTTTATTTATCCATTCTACTGTTGATCAATATTTAAATATTATGGTTTCTTTAAGGTCGTGATTCCAGGAGATGTTTCCTTTTCAATTGTTTGATTTTGTAAATATTTTCATTCAGTTGAAGATATGTTTATTAAACATACCTATTCTCTTGTGTGGAGTGAAAAATACACAATTAATTCGTACGTAATTATTTCTGGAATAATAAATACTAAAGTTTTTTTCCTCAGTCTTTTTATTGCTAGGATTCATAGCCATTTCTCACATTATTGGTTTATATTATTTAATTGAGCATTGAAGAAACTTGGAAAATAGGATTCTTTAACATCATCTGATCTTTCCAAACAGTTGCTGTGTTTGTAGTCTCAGATTTCATCATGTTGGTCTTTCTGCTCTTTCCAGCTTTGAGAATGGAGGGCCTAAGAACTCAGTTTTTAGGAGAGACATCATAGTGATAGTCATACTTGTGATGGGAAAAGTTAGAAGGCAAATTTACTTTCTCCATGAATACTTTTAGAGAGCTCAGTATACGCTAACAAGAATATATATTCAAGGGATATATGCTGAAGTGAACATTTCATACTACCTGAGTTTTGTCAAAATGATATTTCACAGGTATTTTTATTTTGTATTTCCTTGCCAGTCTTCTGAAAAGCATTAGAAGTGCTATCTTTCTTCCAGCAGTTTTTGCAAAATTCAGAGGGCAGAGTGTTTTATAGCAGAGCCTTCACATATGGTGCATCCTACTTCTTTAAGCCTGAAATTAAGTCCCAGAAATACAAACTTCATGAATCAAATGCTTTATTCAGTGTTAATGTAATTTTGAAGAAACTGGTAGAATATAAACTAATGATGACCATAATCAAAACAAGAATTGTGATGTTATCAACTACTGCTTATTGATTTGCTTTACTGTGTTCCAGGTACTCTGCTAAGTATGTTACCTGACACTTTCTAATTCTCAAAACTCGTAGGTAAATATTGTTGCTTCCATTTTTTTAGATGATAAAACCAGGGCTCGGAGAAAATTCATTTGGTCAAGATCAGGTTATCCATGAAGGGAGGAAAAAGTGGTATTTTATTTGAGCTTTGCTCTGATGGGTTCCAAAAATCTGTGTTCTTAATTACTGTATTTCTGCCTGTCCTTTTTCATCCTCCAAACAATGTTGTCTTTAGTTCTTCTGGCCCTAGGACATAGCCAGAGAAGCCCATTAACTGGAACTGACTTCCATTATACATCCGTTTTTATTTTATTTCTACTTGATTAATTACACTGTATTATTTGAAAGGAATATAAATATAGAGCAACAGTAGGACATTACAAAATAACTTTCAAGTAATGTCCTAAGCAGAGCAGAGATTCTATTTACTAATCACATGCCCTCAGTTATGTTTACCTGTGGAAACATACCAGCAATTTGGTAAGAGTAATTTTTAGTCAGAATGGTCTTCAAATTTTCTATTTTCACTAAAAATTGGTGGCCACTCCCCCAAAATGAGTACTAAATGAGTGTCACAGTTGATAAAGTTTAGAAAATACTTTAAGATCTTTAATCCAGGGGCTGATAATTCAGCTTTTTAAAAAAAGAACTATTTTAGCCACATGCCACGAGGAGTTTTAGCTGTCTTTAGTTTGCAAATAATTTACAAACAATATAAATTGCCTACTTTTCATTCTATGAAAAAATTATCTGACATTTGTCTCTAGGCATCTAGCCATAATATCATCAGGATTAGAATATCAGAAGTATGTGATTTTAAATATAGCAATAATACAAAGGCCCATTTTGATTTCAGTAACTTTTCAGAATGTCTGTCATCTGATTCTGCTTCAGAGTCCTTGTGGTTGTGATCCTCACTTGTGGGGTCATAATGAGCCTACAGCTTAGATGCCTGTTTGAACACCAAAACTGGAGAAGTGTTTGGACCCCAGCCTGAGTACAGCCTGAGTTCAGTCGCCCTTGATATACCTCAAGCTCTATAGACTGCAGACTGCTTAAGGAGGAGGGTAGATGGCAGCCTCAGGTACTGACTGGATGCTACTTTTAGAAAGTGAGTAGCAGGCTGATTTGCCTAGAAGGTGTGGGTCATGCTAAGCAAATGGTTTATACATAGAATCAAAGTAACAAATTTGTTTCATAAAATTAGTCAAGATAAAAGCTTAATGAAACTAAAATTAATTTGACTTCTTGAATAAGTGTAATTATTTTTGCGGTTTTCACTTAACTTGTGTTTTACAGTACCTGATCTAAGCATTCAGAGAAATACCCATAGGCAGAATTTCACAGATGTTGCAGTGATTATATGAAGCAGATGAAAATTGGATGGACACCTTTCAAACATTTTTAGTTTCACTTTTCTAGGTTCTAGTAAAATGACTCTTTTGCCATCAATTGCTAGTGCCTTATTTCTAAATTTGGCCTTGTGTTTTGTTCATTTGTTTGTAAATTATTACTGTGAAATGACGTAATACTATATTGAAAGGTTCTTTGTTAAGGGCAGGAAGGGGTTCAGTGACTCACATTGGGAGGTGAAGATTGGGAGGATCACAGTTTGAGGCCAGCCCAAGCAAAAAGTTAGTGACCCCATCTTCAACAAACAAATTTGATATTGTGACTTGTCACTGTAATCTCATCTGTGTGGAAGGCTATAGGTAGGATTGTGGGTTCGTGGCCTACCCACACAAGACCCTATCTGAAAAATAAGGCAAAAAGGTCTGGAGGTATGGCTCAAGTGGTAGAGCACCTGCTTAACAAGTACAAAGCCCTGAGTTCAAATCCCAGCATCACAGAAAGAAATGTTTGTTTCTTTTTGAATATACATATTTGATTTTTTTATGGACTGATGTTGCAGCCACATAACATAATTCTGTTGGCATATTGAACTGCTCTATAATTATATGAGACGAAGGATAGTAGAGACTTTAAAAACAAAGAGAACAAAGACAAAGCACTTTCTGCTTTTATCTAAGAGGAAGACTCAGCAGCATCAGTAACCAAAAAAGTGGGTCATTGCTTCATCTATCATTATTGCTTCTGTGTGTCTCTTTCCTCCTGCCTTCTCTCCACTGCAGCCATGGACAGGAGTTAGATACATGGTACTAATGGCTATAATCCTCAAACAGAACTGCCTGCTCCCATCTCTTGACACTTTTCCTTTCTAAGAGAATGGTATCAGAGATTGCAACTACACAGAATAATAAGTTTATTTATAACTGAGAAGCAATGAGATTTTGTTTGTTGGAATCACTTGAGAAATACTTGCATTGATATTTTTTGAACATTGACTTTTTATATAACTACAGTAAGATTTGATGCCAGAGTTTAGAAGTATTCCCCCTCTCTTTCCACTTATTTCTACAACATGACTTCCATTTACCAAAAATAAATGCCCATATCAATGGCGAGTTTCTGTAACAGGTAGTAATCACTTAGACATCTTACTCAGAGCCCATAGATTCTTACCATTATTCTTTATCAGATAACCTAATTGTCCCTACAATAACAGAGATTAGGGGCTATAAGTTCATTTTATTATTTGGTGAATATATCACTTGAGTAACTCTTAGAAATACAGTAACAGATTAAGACATTTCTACTATATTTAAAGTTCTTTTTTATGATTTTTGTTTATGGCCCACGTACTTTCTTTTGCATAGATTTTTTTGTTGAAATCAGCATTCTTTGTAATTTAAAAATGATTTTGATGCTTTGTGTTTAAAATGATTGCCGTCTGTAGCATGCAAATATATGCCAAGCTTAATATGTCTGTGCTCTAAACTCCTATGGCAACATGCAGAGACTTAGCTTTAATTTTCCATCATTCTTCTGTACTGTTAAACTATATTATGCAGTTGTAGTTATACTGAATACAAGGCAATCTGAGGTACAAGTAGTCCACCAGTCCATTTCCCATTATTCTTTTCAGTTTAGCTACTTCATTAGCCTTATGAAATGTGGATTATATACTTTGATTCAGGTGCATACTTTTTTTTTTCTGATGCTGAAATAAAGCTAGGACTTAATTGACAGCTGATGCCGCTATAATCAGTGACATTTTAAAAAATTCATTATAGCAACAGTTTCCTATACAGTATCCTTGAGTCCATATGGAATCCAGATGGGAAGTCATGCAAGACTCCTGTGTTTGAATTCCAAATCTGTCTCTTAGCTTTCTAAACTTGAGTAAGACATCTAACCCCTCTAAGCCTTGGTACCTTTTTTCTTTTTCTTTTCTTCTTCTTCTTCTTTTTTTTTTTTTTTTTCCCATAGTATGGAGGTAATGGCGTTTAATAGAAGTTATGGGAAAAGTTACAAACAGCCATGATGGGCCAGGTATGAGGTGAAAGCAGAGAGAGAAAAAACAAGGATTCTTTTTTGTGAGTGATATGCTTGCCTCAGGCAGTTTTAAGAATGAAATGAGGTTAGGTAAAATAACTCTCAGTTATTAGTGCCTTCCTTTATTCTCGAAGTCACAGAGCTTGTGAAGTAACAGCATTCAGAGCTCTTCTAACACAAGTGATGTTTTAAAGCTGGACACATCATCTGTTATTACCACTTAGTAAGGCATCTCAGTGTGCTCAGAGCCATGACTTCTCACCTAACTCTTCCCCATACACACAGGGAACAGGTTCAATCCCCAGTCCTGCAAGAAAAAAAACAAAAGAGTTTTGTTGTTTTGTTTTATTTTTCACTTTTCCTCACCATAAATTCTGTTGGTACTTCCCTCAAGATTCTTAGAAAGTCAGTAAGAGTCAGGGGAAAGTAAAACAGAAGAATCAAGGGATTTTCAGGCTTTCACGGGTGACTGAGGTCAATGAAGTAAGAAGCAACAGCAGTCTGGGAAGCCTTAGGCAAGTTCATTTCTCATAATTTTCGTTTTATTTATTGTTAACCTTTATTTAGGGACTTACACAATCACTAATCTTCTTCATTATAGGGCATTTATAAATTTGCATAACGCTCCTTTTGGAGACATTTTTATTCCCAATGCCCATCTAGATCAGAATGACAAATTTCACAACAGTGTTCTGATTCCATGAGTTGGCCTCTCAAAAGAATCAGCTTTTGTATAGAAAAGTTAAAATCTCAGCCTCTTTTAATTATGCCTTTTTTCAGTGAAGATCTCAGTTAGAATCCATACATATGTTTGTTAAAGAATATGAGTGGGCTGAGGTGTAGCTCACTAGTAGAGTATATGCCTAGCAGCCTGAAGCCTTGGTTTCCATCTCCAGTACCACAGAAGAACAAGTAAATAAAAATAAATAAATGAATAAAGACAACCTGAGTTATAAACTGGGTCTCTTAAAAGTATTGTTGTATGGTTTTACATTGACTGCCTAGAAGGCAGAACCAAAAAGTAAAGGAGAATTTAGACCTTTTCCAGGTCATCCAGTTCATAAAGATTTACTAATGGATATTCTGACTCCCTTTATTTCTTTTAATACCTTCTGTTTTTGATTTCCTTTTTTGTTTCTTCCTTTTTTGTACAGATACTGCAGCCTATGGGAAAGATAGGTGAGGTGAAAGTAGTTCAGAATCTGGCTGTTACATACTACTTATGTGACCTCAGACTGATACATTAATTCTTTGACCAAACTTCTATTTTCTTATATGTAAAATGACATAAACAATACCTACTTCATGAGGTTGTTGGCAGACATGAGAATATAGACTTAAAGAACTCATGGCATGTAGAAGTTTTACATATCTAGTTGAAACTATAGAGAGTAACAGGTATCTGGTAATGAGTTCAAATAAATAATTTAGTAATTTATGGGTTGCTAAGGTAAAAGCTTTTGGTTAAAGAGGAGTTTGAAAATAGTAGTTAAAGTGAGTTTTCTAAAAGATCATCCATGGAGCTAGTTTAAGGCCTGTCTTCTGTGAACATGATAATTGAGTTTACTGTAAGGAAGATGGAATAAGGAAACAATTCTCCTGCCACCCTAAAGAGAATTTGTATGCCCAGAGGCTGGCATGTCCAGTCTTGTTGGAGAAAGTGCTTTAAATTTAGCTAGCAGTACTTGAAACTTCCCTGATTATGAATTGCTCCCTAAACTGAGCTGTAGAGTATTAATTTAATTCACTATTCTCTCTTGGCATAGCTTCTTTATAAAGTCACTGCCCTGGGGTAGGGGGAGAGGGTCAGCAGGAAAACCCATTCCAAATCTTTAACCATATTTAGCAGTATTTTCAGTTCTTGATCTATTTTCTTCTCAAATTCCCCAGCTATCTTGGAAGAATTTTTCTCTTCAATTTCATATGTTAAAGATACTCTGCAAAGGATATCATTAAGATGACTAGTTTATTCTCTCTTTTTCTCTGGAGAACCTTGACTTTAACCTAATTTTTAGAATGGCTTGAAAAAGAATACTTGACCATTTAGCTCTACACCCTTCCACCTTTCTCCTTCCAAAATTAACCTGTCACATTTTTTTGGTTTCTTTTTTGAGAAAGAACTTAAACATTGAGGTGAGACCTGAGATAATTTAGTATAATGGAAACACCTGGAGTTTGGTAGCCATACAGCTGTTTAGCTCTAGTTCTATGACCTTAGCTAGCATCTCAGGGTCCAAATATAAAATGATGTCTTGACATCTGGATGAGTTTGGCAGCCTCTTTTTTGAAAAATTCTGAATTTTCTGTTTTGGAGATGCTTAAATATAACACATAAGTGTTAACCCCCATGTTTAACTTATCATCTTCCACTACCATATTTCCTCTATCTCCTGTATCCTTCTACCTTCTTTTTTCTCTTTTCTTTTGAGACAGGGTCTCACTATGCAGCCCAGGCTAGTCTAGAACTTGCTTTGTATTCCCATCTGGACTAGATCAAGATCTTACTGCCTCAGCCTCCTGAGTGCAGGGATTACAGGTGTATGTTACCACGCTCAGCTTTGGTTAGTTGTTCTATCAATGTATGTATATGGAGTATTTTAGTAAAAATCCCAGTCTTCATGCTATTCCCTTCCTAAACTTCATTGTATATCTCAAATAAAATCTAAAAAGTTGAAGTCTTTTATCTTTCCCTTCTCTTACCCCTTTTGGAAAGAATTGCAAATAATACAGGAAACAAAAAATTCTACTTTCCAAAGAGATTCAATTCTATAATCATCTTTAATTTGAAGTTTATGGAAAACCCGGTTGGCATTTAACCTTCTGAAATTAAAAGCATGTGTATTTGTACTTTTATTGGTGGGACGTGGGATGATACCATTTTTTAAATTTTTGAAATGTCTGGCCCAGAGATTGGAAGGTAAGTAAAGAATATGTCAGGTTTTCACCTAATTCTGTGGCCCTGCATAAAGTCAAGTACCATATGTAGAAAACACCACAACTTTGACAAAGAATCTGTAAAGATATAATACCATATTATGTGTGTCTTTATAGCATAAAACTGAGCTAATTCTTCCAATTCTGTATTTAGAAGTCAGGGTCATTGAGAAATAGACTATCAATACTTTACTTACATTTTTAGAAAAGAATAATTTAAATTCATTTACTTAGAATTAACTGTGATCTAATTGTGGCCTCAAGGTCAAGTTATCAGTCTCATGTATCTGTAAATAAATAAAACTTCTCTCCTTTTTTGTGCTAATGAAATGTTTGCAAAAGTTGGTCATTTAGTATTGTTTTGGGTTAGATACTTTATTTGTCAAAAAGTGGATATAACTTACCTGGAAAAATCATTAAATATAGGTTATACTAAGCATCTAATCCTCAAACT